TGTAGGAGGAGGATGGCCATCATACGCACAGCTTGAAAAAAAAAAGTTATTCAGATGATGTCCTTGATTTTAGCACTTCTTGGTGCCTTGTTTTCCAGAGGGGAGTTAAAAAGTTTTCTAGGAGTGGAGATGGAGGGAGGGAATCATTTGTTGTACATTCCGTGTGCTTGAAACTGCAGCCAAATTTCTTTAGTTTATTCAGCCAAAACAGCTCAGGAGCTGCGTGAGTCAGAAAGTTAAAAAACAGATGCATGCACCACTTACAGAGAAGTAGCCGTGGACCAGTTTGTAATTAGTTTAACTAAGATTAAGACAGTATTCTCAGTGATGCTGCGTGATAGATAAATACTTGTTAATCAAAATTAGCAGAAATTTTGCACACATATTGTTTGGTTCCATTATGTATGGATTCATCAAATAATTAATTAATTAATTAATTAAACTATTCCTTAAATAATGTCAAGAGTTTTGGACTTATTTCATGTTAAGAAATTATATGTTTCTGATAAACCTTGAAAATTACATTATGGACAATCTCATGCAATATCACAAGATGTTGTGAATGACTTGAAGCTATCACAATAAACTTCAGCTCAWAATCTAGAAACTTGACTGAGTCATTGCCAGATGTGGTGACCATTTTGAATGAATCATTTGTTGTGTTGCGTTTCCTGCACTTTTTATTAAAGTTAATAGATTAGATAATTTGCTAACAGACAGACAGTGTTGACTCTGAATAGTTAATGATTATGTGTTGGGTTATTTAGATGCTTGTCTGCTTTTCATGACTGCAGTAGTAATAATTCTGTACAACAACACTTTTCATTTTATTCCAGTTTTTTTCCACATAAATAGTGGTGGAGTTGTTTAAAAATTAAAATTCAGATACTCTCTCCTTTTAAAGTCCGTAATCAACACTTCATAATTTATGTTAATCCTTAGTGTTTTTGAGAGATTTAATGTTTTTAATTTAATGTCTTTCTAGGAAGCTGTAGTATATGTAGCACAATAAGTAATTACATTTGTTGTAACAATGTTTTTTGTCAATAAATCTTATAGCAGGCCCCTGATTGGCAGCACATGGGGGTACCAGAAGCTCAAAACAAATCAAAAGCAACAAAAAATAAGTTGTGCGCAACCCATATACTAGGGTTGGGCGATATTGGCAAAAAAATTAATCATGATTAATTGTGGTGTTTAGCCAATAATGGTTAATTTGATGATTAATCCCCTGGAGTCTCTAGACAACCTTATGTCCTAGTCACATGACCAATTTAGTGGGAAAATTTTGCTCTTCATAAAAATCTGTTCCAAATTGTCAAAATTACAGACTTCGGGCTACACATCAAATTTTAAATTGTGTTGATAGATAAATAAATTTCAGAATTTATTTTTTTTATGTTTGTCATATTTGAAGCTGAGAGGAGCACCGAGCAGACTGACCGAGGAAATATCCAGTCCATCTGCCTGGTGGCATTAATCGTATTAATCGTCAAGTGCCAAAAAATAATCGATTAATGTTTTCCTGACGATTAATTGCACACGATACGATTATGCCCAACCCTACCATATACTCAGTTCTACTGCTTATCCCACAAATGCATGATCCTTACAAATGTGGTACCATTTGAAAGGGAAATAAACAGGTTTTCCAACAGTATAAGATTTATTTGAGAAGCATAATTGCACATGATACGATTATGCCCAACCCTACCATATACTCAGTTCTACTGCTTATCCCACAAATGCATGATCCTTACAAATGTGGTACCATTTGAAAGGGAAATAAACAGGTTTTCCAACAGTATAAGATTTATTTCTAAGAAGCATTGTTACAACAAAGAAATAATCTGCCAAGCACAATTTTTTTTACTATTTGTTCTAAGTTTACTTTGCTGCTTTTTGCTGTGTTTTATTTAGCCTTTACACAGGAGKGGTATTGAAGATGATGTTGTCTAACTTTCAGCAAATAAGCAAAGAAATCTTGTTTTTCCAAAATGTCAACCTTTGAAATGGAATCAAAGAGGTCCTCCTCTGGGAGGTTTCTGTGAGCTTAAACCAAGTGTTAAATGCTCCATAAACAACATAGCAAAATGTTTCACTGCCCCCTTATATGTTTTCTTGTGAATGGGGGAAAAATTCAGAAGTTCTCCTGCTTCTTTTGATTTATCCCTTGAGTATATATGATCCTTCAAGATTTTTTTTTCACCAACTAGAGAAGAAATGTCCAAGCAAGCGAGGGTCAAAGTGTTTTGACAGTTTGCTCCAGCTAAACCTTTGACATAAATCAGGTCTTGTTTTTATAAGTCAGCCTTCTGTATTAATCCAGAGGAAACACAYGGTTGAGTGGCTTGCAGGACCATAAGTCAGTGGAGATAACTGAAGCCTGTTTGTTTAAGACATTTATTTTTGTTTTCTCAGGGCCCTTAAGTGCCTTAGGATGAACTCTGTCCATATGAGGTCCCTGCAGCTCCGAGCCAACACTGTGACCTGTTTTGGTCCTAAAGCTGAGCCCTGCAGAGGAGAAACACTGAGCGCCTCTGTTCTGATTCTGTGGTATTAGTGAGGCGAGATATGGGCCARCTTACAACAGCCAAAAACACTGTGGTAAAGTTTTTTCTCCACAGACATAAACAATGACACCTCCAATTTCCTGTAGACCAGGATGGGCCGTCCAAAACCAGGAAGAAAAACTCTCAGATTGAACGTGAGAAGGAATGAGAGACTTTCATTGGTTTTATTGTCTTATAAATCACATTTTAACTTTGGAGTTTWATGTTGAAGCGTCTGCAACAATTCGGCTTTTTGAAGGAATGTGATTGAGTGGATCTATTTAAGCKTTAGAGGCCACTGGTATGCCTCTCCAGATGTACCTGCAGCTGAGATACATCTGTTGGCGGCGAGATGGAAGGACCAGCCAGATGGACTTACCTGTGTCAGCTCCATCAGGATAATGACCATCTTGTTTACCATATGTACGAAATGCACCAAAGGAATGCGGCTGTGTGTGTTTGAGCATGTGTGTGTTTGTGTATATGTTGGGAGAGGCCATGTGTACTTACCCTCCCCATTGTTTTTACTTCTACCAGACTGGCCATTTGTTCTGAGGCACAGACTAGGCTCTGTGTACTTTAGTGGGCAGATGCAGCTATAAGGTCTGGTTGACTTTCCCTCCTCCTCTTTCTCTCCCTCCCCAGCTCTCGTTTCTTTTCTAAGTCTGCTCTGTGATTCGGGGGTTTTGTTTAGTTTTTGRTCGGGAGGTGGGGGTTGGCTGAAGGCTTGGTGTCGCTCCAGAGGTGCTGCAGGAACCCCTAACACCATCACAGGGTGTTTCGGCCCGCTCCACTTCACCGGATCTGAGGGAGCGGACCCGAGCCAATTAAGAACCGGGAGAACAGGCTGCTGTTCGTCTCGCTGCGACCCGCCCCCCTCATTGCTTTGATCTTTCTCACGCTACGCAAAAAAACCCACAGCCAGAACAATTCACCCTCTCACTGCATGCAGTCGACAGGACTCACTCGGTTTTTACAATCTGGCTGCAAGATTTCTGGGCAATCAGCACAAAATATGACAAATTGGTCTAATTTGTGGCATTTTTTAGAGCCGACACTGTCAGGGAAAGTAAGATTCAAATAAGTTGTTGTTCTGATCAACTTGAAAAAAATTTAGCTATACAGCATATTTTATATTTTGTGAAGTTAATAACTAGTTTCATCATGTTGAAATTGAAAAAAGAAAAAAAAAATGTCCCTTTGGTAACTGGTATTGCTGAAAGTGGATTCTTCAGTTTGGGATCTACAAGTATAAAAGTATTTAATGGATACTTCATGAGAATGAGGACCTTGAACCCAGTCAGAGACTGAAAAATGATAAYCAGGATTAAAAAATAAGCAAACAAATTTTAGTTTTATTTCACTCCAAAGACCTTTAAGTGACAGCCTTACATTTTAGGCCTTATCAGATACTGTCCAAGAGAAGAAATTCTTCTTTTTTGTCTTTTACTTTGCAGATGGGCAACTAATTTAAGAAAAAAGAACAGGTCAGAGCTGAGTGTGGAGATAAAAAAAAAGTTGTCTATGGTTAGACAAATCGTTCTGTTGGGAGTAGTCTCTTACAAGATGAAAACCCCCTAATTAACGTGGTGTGATGGATCAATGAAAGATTTAACAGCTGTGAATTTTTTGTGCACTGAATGCTCCRCCTTTCAGTCACCAGAGCTCAACAAAACTAAAAATGCTGAACGCAGACTTTTAGACTGATACGTCAACACAAATGCACCAAATGAGACGATCAAATTTGTGTTATTGTCTGTTTATAGATGTGAACACTTTTGTTTACTGGAAAACATCGATACACACTAAGCTAAATTTAAATAATAGTAACAATAATAATACATCAGTCTTATATAGCGCTTTGTAGGACACTCCCTTTTCCACTAGTGCTTAGTGTAGTGTCGGTACGGTCAGTGTTGGAACGRGTCAGTTCTGGTGCTTTTCCATTGACGTTCCAGTCCGGTTCCAGTGGGTGTATTTTGGGCGATTGGTGGTGGTGGTTTTTCGGAAAAAAGTTAATGCGCAAAAGGAGAGATGGAAACACATTTGACGAATAACTTTTGAAATTTTAAAAATTCACTAAAATTCGAATTAAAATTGGATGGAAACACGACTAATGTCACTGCTACAATTGAAAAAATGGCGACTCGAGTTGTTGTTATAAAGGCAGCTTAGACACAACCAGTGACTCCACCCCCTAGCCAATCAGTGACGAACAGTGTTCTGATGTCGCATTTTGGTGTCAACTAGGGCCGCTTGGAACCACAATGAAGTAGGTACTAAAAAATGDGCTGGTTTCATGAATCTGGCTTAATGGAAATGGCTTGGAACTGTACCGACACTACACTAAGTGGCATTAGTGGAAAAGGGGCAAAAGATGCTTTACATTATTCTGTCACACACACATTCACACTAAACACTGGATTTGTTGTATTTTTGTGTCCTCAGGACCTCCACGGGTATCTGAGAAAGTTGTCCACAGACAGACGGCTCGACTGGGAAATGCCATCAAGTTACCGTGTCCGGTGGATGGAGACCCACCACCCCTCACCAGGTGGACCAAAGATGGACGCACCATCCACAGCGGCTTCATTCGCTTCCGTAAGCTCCGCATGGGCCTGAAAATTAAAGAGGTGGAGACGGATGATGCCGGAACCTACAACTGCCAAGCAACTAACGGCTTTGGAAGTGTTAACGTCAACTACACCCTCATCGTTATCGGTGAGCCCAGCTTGAGTTTAGTTTGCATAACCYACTCCTCTGCAGGTTCCCTGACACAACATCATCAAGACCTCAAGTTTCTGATTTGTTTGGTCAGTTCACATCGACTTCTGCTGTTCTGCTTTTAGACGGAATATGTAGCAAAAGTCCCACCACTTCTCTTCAAAGTAAAAGACAGCGTCATTCAGATTTATGGAGGTTTAAGGGCCTGATCTTTGCATCTTTTGTCTTCATTATATCCCCTACATCTCTCTGCCCAAAGTCAACAGCGTCCCGGGATATTGTTTCATTCTACTTCATCCTCTGTGACTCAACTGGATCTCGCTCTTTCTTTTCCCGAGGCTACGCTCTGTGGAGGCAGGAGGTCTGCAGCTCTGCAATCAGAAACACATTCAGTGTAAAAGAGCCGTTTTGCTGAACAGAGCCWGCAGGATTAAGGACAGTTGGACCAAGTGTGTAACTCCTTTGTGCATTTCCTCTGTGCCGGGCCAGAGCATGATGAATGAGCGGAGCAGAGCGTGAAGGCTGTGTTTAGTCTAATTACTCTAAGATGCCTAATTTGGGCCAGAGTCTGCGCTCTATCTCACAGGAGGAGTTATAGCCTGGTCTTGTGACAGCTTTGATTCAGAAGAAGAGCCATAATCAGGCAGGGGCAGAAAACACAGGAAACAGCACTTGTTGCAGTGCAGCGTGCGTACGAAGAGGGCATGCATAAAACCGAGGTTTATTTTAGAGTCCACCTCTTTATGAAGTTGCTCAAAGACAGGGTGTCGGCTGATTGTGTTTAAATTAAAGGTTGAGGATTTTGGCACAGGGCCTTCTGTAATGCCAAAGTTAACAGTGCTGTGTGGTATCAGACGTGGTTCTTCTAACCCTAACCTAGAGGACGRTTTTAGAGTGGAGCGGTTCCAAAAGCTATCTTTGCAGTTTATTCTGTCTCCAACACTACAAAAAACCCTGAAGACAGAGCATGTAAAACAAGTAGATTCAGTTAGATTTTTGTATATGTAAGAGGGTTTTGAATTATCTTCTTAAAAATTGAAAGAAATTGTTTGTAACAACAAAAAGTGGTCTGTCATGGCCTTTGATGAGATGCTTTTGCATGAACTCCAGAGGATTCATGAACATCATCTCACTTAATCTTGGTGTGCTTTTTTWATGTGTTTTTGGCATTTTTGAGTAGTTAATTGACCCAGTTTTGAACCAGATAAGTTAGTATTAATGTATGACAGACACGTTTTTTTCTAAAACAATCTTGACATCGGAGTAGTAGCACTTGGAATTAGTGTTTGTCTATAAATATTGATTCAAATTTAGGAGATAAAACTTGTGATTTTGACGCACACGGATAAATTACACACRTTTAGCTGCGTAATCTCTGATAGATAAGAACGCTCCGCCTGTGGTTTGTTTTTTGTAACAGGTCATTTGTTCAGTTTGACTCAGTGAGAGTAAGAAACAAAAACGAATCTGTGATGAAGATGAGTTCAGCTTGACTGCGTACGTGGCTCCAGTCCCACTCTGTGATTTTGTTTGGAAAGGAAACCATCAGACGTTTAATTATAAGCTTAGTTCCTTGAAATTTTAATCAGGAGAATTTTTTTTTGGCCCTTTCATGGATTTAGGTAGAGACCTTCTGGCCTGACTCTTAATTCTAATCTGGTCTGTTGTAATTCCAACTCAGACTTTTTGAACACTTAGTGAAAGGACTTGATGATCATTCTGTGTGTTACAAGAACACATACTCCCTCGTTTCTGCTCTCTTGTCCGTCATCCAATTAGGTGCTGGCAGGCCATCACCACAGCATTTGTTTTTATAGGTAATTGTTTCGACGGGGGTGCGTTTCATTGTCAAAATACTGCCAGTGTCGAAGTCAGCTAAATACAGTCAGCAATTATCATGAGCAATACTTTCCATTAACGTTGAATCAGCTAATTAGTTTAATTTCATGCCTYGAACCTGCTGTGATTGCTATTATGTTGCTTAATTTGATCAAAGAAGAGAGTTTTAATCTGTAAATGAGGGGTAACAGGCTCCCAGAGCAGCTTAGCATAGATGGTCCATCAATTCAGTTTGTTATTTTTACTAGAACACAAAAAAAAAAAAACTTCAAACAGTGACTGTCAGTGGAGAGGTCACTCAAGTTCAAGGTCAAACATGGAGTGTTTTATCTTTTTAGACATGCTGGAGGAAGATAAAAAGACAGAGAAAGCGTGAGACATGAAGTGAAAGAGTGAGGGGTTCTGGTGTGAGGAGGAACCCCCCCATGGAGAGATATGCCTCGTCCCATCTGCCAGCGGTCAGCCTGTCCTCCCCAGAGCTATCTGAAGAATCTGGTCAGCCCGTGCAACATGGCGCCTCCTCAATCCCTCCAGCTGGTTGTTTGGGCCCTGTTTGCAGTGGTGTCCTGACAACTGTCTCCATCACACCCCCCGAGCAGCCATGCTGTATGCAACAATCCCTCTGTCCTCTGCTGCCCAGGCATATTCGCATTAGAGCGAGATTGTCATATTAACATTTACAAGAGTGGATTTAAAGTTTATGTCTGCTCTGATAAAATATTACAGGGTTAACTCGGAACTCATTCATTACTGCATGAGGACCCCTGGCTCTCACACACATTTTTCATTTTACTCCCCTCTGGAGACGTTGTCAGGCCAACTGTTGGATCAACTGCCCGTGTCCGGCTGACCACATGTGGTAACTGTTTGGAGATGATGCAAGGCCACTGTGCATAACTTTCCCTGGACGTTACAATGTCCCCAACAACATCTGGAGCTTGTTGGGACCTCCAGATCCTCAGGCCTTTTCCTGAGATTCAGCTGGCACAGAGGAACGTCTGAGAGTAGTGACCTGTTTCCTGTGGCTGGATTTGTGAATGAAGTGGGAGGGGATGGCACCAGACCAAAAACACTGGAGGRAGATCATGAATGGACTCATGTTATATGAAAAAAAAAGTTTATTTCATTTGAACAAAATTAATAGTTTCATTTACATTTAGTTTCAAGAGAAGACACTTAAATCATGATTCCTGAAAACTATTAGTTTGTTTGATCCTCAGAGAAAAACAATGAAATCTCTTGTATTTGCTTCAAATCTTATCTTTGTTTTGTGCTACTTTTAGCTTTAAGCTACTGCTCTGCTACCTTTTGCTGCTTTTAGGTTTTAGCTAGCTTTTGACTGCTTTTAACATCTAACAAATCTTTTTTTTTGTAGCTTCTAACTTGCCTATAATAACTTTTAGATAGCCTTMTGCTGCTTTTAACGTTTAGCTGTCTTTTTGCAATTTTAGTGTTTAGCTAGTCTTTTGGTACTTTTAGCTTTCAGCTTATGTTTTGCTCTCTTTTTACTAATCTGTTATTACTTTTARCTTTTAGTTAACATTCTGCTACTTTGTTTTTAAAGGGCCAGTGTTATGTGTTTCTCAGGCATATTCAATTCTATACCATAATAAAGTAACTATGTCACCTTCAGTTGTAATGAAAATGCTGTTTATACTGTAAGTATAAATCAAAAATTAACTTGACTTCTCATCATAGCCGTTTCTAAAGACCTTGAAATTGGCCTCTGTCTCTTTCAGAACCTCTTAATGCTTCTGTCACGTCCGTTTCTGCACGTCATCACAACAGCTTCATAATGTTTTAACACRTTCTCACGTCGGACTCGTCAACATATTGAYGCTTGGCCATATTGATGCTTGGGCAGAGAGCGTCTGCATCCAGTTTTGACGCATCGGGTACCCCYGCRYGTYCTTCCTTGCCGCCCGCGGCTTTTCCGGGTTGCGTCACTTAGGGGTCTTTGGGTCGGGGTCTGAGGTTAACATGAGGGATCAGGATTAATGGTTAATTTGAGATACTGGGGTCAGGGATAGGCTGTAAATAGCTAATATAAGTTAAATTTAGGGTCTGGGATGGTTAATTCTTGTGCATTCTCTACATTAAAAAAAATGGTTAATATGAGAGATCAGGGTTAATGGTTAATTTTAGGTTCTGGGGTCTGGGATAGGCTGTATAGGGCTAATAATAGTTAAATTTAGGGTCTGGGATAGTTAGTTTCGCGCATTTCCTACTCTTGTAGAAAAATAGAACAACGCGCCCATCCTCCTCCGCCTCATCTCGTAAAAAACTGACACGCAGGGGGTACCCGCAAAAGGCTACCTGACCAAGYGTCAATATTGACGCRTGGGGAGTGAGAATGCATTGAWTGTTTAMAACCTGGAGCGTTGTAGCCTATTTTAATGTAATTTTAAAAAAGCAGCAATATTGTACAATATCAGTTTTGGAAAGTTGCAACTCAGGATAAAACTGAACCTTAAAAGTACTTTTTCTAAAGAACTGTAGCGAGTAAAGAGACAACATTTCAGCTTGGTAAGATATCTTCCAGTCATCCTTGCATACACACACGTCAATGTTAAGCTAATTTGTTTATTACTAATGAGTGGTGTAAGCCAAATAAAGAACACAGATCGTAAWATAAGTTAAGGATGGTAATCATAGATCACAGATAGACCAAAAAACCAAACAAAACAACGTGAGTTGTTCTTCAGCTTACCTGGGCAGAAGACAACGGTGTTTGTGTCCTTCTGACTGTTGGAAATGTATCATCTTTACCATACTATACAGTACCAACTTTATTTATAAAGCACTTAAATAACCATAGGACCAAAGTGCTGTACAGTCACAGTCAATAAAACACACAACAGTCACAGTACATAATAAAAGCCAAATCCAAAAATTAAAACTATACAATAAAACAAACACATAAACCAATTAAAACTAATTAAAATAATCTCAAAACAAACTAAAAGTCAACATCTCAGATGGTGCCAAAAGCCAAA